ACTAACTGCACAAGAAGTACTGCTCTGTTAGTCATGACTGCAATCCAACACAGGACCGCATGAAGGAAATCTCTAATAAACCACTTGTGCTAACTGGGGATACAGCCCTTGCCAGGAGATGCAACTGGCTGCTGCCAATGAAATCCTAATGAGTAAGACCTACAGAGGAGTCGCAAACTTCCAGTGAGGTGTGGCTGGTTTCATGTTAAAGAAACATTTGTTTGTTTATTTGTAATACTTAGTCCTTTCAGTTAAATCACTGAAAAAATTCAATCTTCTTTTCCTTAAGCTGTCGTAGCTTGTACAGGAAGGAGTTTATAAAACCATGACAAGAAATTACACTAAAAAAAGGTAGAAAAGGAGCAAGATGCAAAGAGGAGATGAGAGAAACATTAAGGAAGAAATCAAGGAAGAATGAAAATTAAGCAATTGAGCAATTCAGTGCATAGTGGAGAGGTGGATTACCTGAACACATGGAAACAGAAAAATCAGATTTAGAAGGAATCTATAAAGAAGATGTGGAATCATTAGAAATAAAATGGAGAGCAGTACAAAAAAGAGGAAAGAACTGAACAGTGAAGCAAAGACGACTATAAATAGGGTGGGGCACAAAGGACAAGAAGAGAAAAAAGGCAAAGCAATATTAAAACTTATGGGAAAGGGCATCTTAATATGGTACCACTCAGTTGTCCAATAAAAGCGCTGCAGCATTTGTCCAAATATGACAAAAGCAGTTGACATCGGCAAATTAAAGTGCATGACACAGACTGCAATATATCAAACTGAAAGGGTTCTAGGGAATAGGACAGTGAATGAAAACCTGAGAGACCTGTATTAAATTACAAGCTTGGCCATTATCTTTCTATGAGATATGAAAAATGGGAATATAATACCTCCTACCTTGTTGTGAGGATAAAACTCATTAATTATCATGAACAGCTTACACATTACATACAGCGCTGTGGGGGAAATAAGCAAGTAGAATCTAATTGCTGCTGTAGGATAAAGTGTACAAAAGGTATATTACTGACTGATGGACTAAGGGGTTGCAAACTGATTGTTTTATCTGAGAGACTGAGAAATCCAAAGGCCAAAGAATGATTGGCCTTCACGTTTTTTGGGGTTTTTTTTAAGTCCAAGCAAACACAGTCATTAGATTCAAAAAGACAGCAGATGAAAAATAAGAGGGAAGGATCTCCTGAATGTGGTACATAAACAAGAAGAAGGAAAGGAAACTATACTACAGCATATTAACATACACCAGAAAAAATACACAGAATTTAAGTTAGAGGACTGTTCTTCTGATAAAGCTATAATTTTAAAAGGATGAGTAGACAAATAAAAACTGGCAGGAAGGACCTGTGAAATTAATTTCTTCTAATTCTTCAACATCTAAAAGTTAAGATCTAAATTATTAATTCCCTGTTATGGGAACCTGGTCAACAGAGAGAAACACAGCTAGGAGTGATTCAGCTGACCTTAGACACCTATCTCAGACTAAACTGAACAGCTCTCTAGAGGTATCCACAGTGACCAGCTTAGATATCTAATTTTAATAAGTAAATTTCTGCTACTAGTTATTCCTGCTTGTACTGAAAGAGAAATATAATATCATGACCTGTGATTAAATGCTCACAGCATGGAAGAGAAAAAAATATGAACTTGTTAGAGACAGCAAAGAATGGATGGCAAAAGCAGTTTTACTACCCAGTGCTTCCACGATGATTCTATTCAAATCTCTCCATGTAAAAAAAAGATGCCACCTAAGTCCCCTCAAGCATTTTTTCAGGCAGGAACAGGGGAGAAGAGTCTGTGGTGTTTGCATACACAGTTGAGACCTGGATGCAGGTTTTCTCAAAAAAGTTCAGTATCAGATCACTGACCATCTCACCCTTATTGTTTCTTCTTTCAGATTAGATTACTGATCACAACGACAGCACAGGCACAAATACAGCTATTTGCACACTCAATGTGTTTTATCAAGAAGTATTTAACTGATTCTTACCACCTTAATGAGATGCAAATCATCCATAAGCATATCCACAACTTTCTATTCCCAACAAAGTGCTACAATTAGAATACAAATTTTTCTTGGATTCCTAATATGCATTTAGCTAATCAGCCTCAACTTTACTGATGGAGGAAAAGAATTCCTACATTTTAAGTTTTTTAAGAAATATTCGCATAAAAAAATTAACAGTGAAAAACTCAAGACACACAGAAGAAACTTTTTTAGGAGGTGCATGTTAGTGGTTCCTGAAATACTGGGCCTTTTAAAGGGATCCAAATCTGCATGTATAAATTACATCTCTAAAATAATTGTTCTTTTTCTATAATATAAATAAGATTTATTTTGTTTATTAAGAATTAATACTGATATTGCAGCTGAAGGACGATAACATTTAGCATCATTATGAAATATTCACCTTTTCTAAATAGCAAGAATCATAGAATCATAGAACCATTTAGGTTGGAAAAGACCTCTAAGATCATCGAGTCCAACCCTGAACCTGACACTGCCAAGTCCACCACTAAACCATGTCACTAAGCATCACATCTACACGACTTTTAAATGCCTCCAGGGATGGTGACTCAACCACTTCCCTGGGCAGCCTGTGCCAATGCTTGACAACCCTTTCAGTGAAGAAATTTTTCCTCATGTCCAGTCTAAACCTCCCCTGGCCCAACTTGACGTCATTTCCTCTCGTCCTATCGCTTGTTACGTGGGGAAAAGAGACCGACACCCACCTCGCTACAACCTCCTTTCAGGTAGTTGTAGAGAGCGATGAGGTCTCCCCTCAGCCTCCTTTTCTCCAGGCTAAACAACCCCAGCTCCCTCAGCCGCTCCTCACAGGACTTGTGCTCCAGACCCCTCACCAGCTTCGTTGCTCTTCTTTGGATGCCAAAGAAGCAGAATTTGAGTATGTTTCTCTGGGATGAACAAATCCAGCTCTTAGCAGATATGCTGAACCAATGAGGTATCAGTGATGGAGATACCTGAAACGGGCCTCTTTTCATGGTGTAATTAGAACGCATGGGGAACTTTTTAATGGTATCTCCTTAAGTCAAAACATTTGTTCTTATCAGCTAGCCAAAAAAGCTTAAATGATTGACAGAGAGCACATGCTCTCAAATAACCAGAGCTTGTAAATACTGTACCGTCTTGGTATCTTTTCCCTTCACGTTGTTTTCTAAACTTTTAAGTAAATAAAAAGATTAAAAGCAAAACAAAACAAAAACTTCCTTTTTTTTCCTTCTCCCTCTTTAACCTTTTGATTTGAGGACTGTTATGAAGGGAAGAAAAATACTTATTTCAACAGATATAGCCCTACAAACATACTGGCAACTCAAACAGAACCACAGCCTCAATGCTATATTTTTATATTTTACACAGTCCATATAGCACAGATCTGCAAAACGTTTCAGCCCACTAAGCTGAAATTCCTAGGACTTAATTTTTTTTAGTGTGATTCAAAACATTTCAAAATAATAACTTAGGCTGGTGCTGAGTTTTGGTACTGCACTCTGTGTTGCTGATGCCACGTTACAGTGTCACTTGTTTCTTGACAGATTGCCCCTGACTCACAAGGAACTATTTTTAACTCAACAATATGGGTTATTATAAACTTCGTTCCGAGAGTTCAGAAAGACATAAAAAGAAATAAAACTGAAACAGAAATACAAATAGGACACCTGGTGGAATTTTTTTTTTTCCTGGGGGGAAAAAAATTCCTGAGGAAAGTCAAAGAAAATGAGAGTAAATTCTGGATCAGTATTTCCTTTTTTGCCTTGCCTAACCAATTTGGATTTATGTTGTTGAAGTAGTCACCTCAAGACCTTTGTCAATAGTATTTAATCATAACAGATACAGCAGGGTCTTTTACTTCACACCATAATCTACCATCACTATATGGTACACTTAGATGCAAAATCCAATGTTTAAGCTTTGTAATTCTGTTTCCAGAAGTGATTAGCCCGTGCAATCCCGGTGAATTTAATCAGAAAAGACCAATATCTTTCGAATTTAGGTTACTTTAATGAATTTTACTTAAAGCATGAAAATTTTAAAACTCAGGACAGTAGACTTTGTTGTATCTGAATTCCAGTACTTGTAACTCTATATAAGCATATCAAATAGTTCTGCTTGACATGATCTATGCGCCTTCTTTAATTGCCTTACAGCAGAAGCATCAATTACAATAGTGATGCCATCAATCTCTAAAGAATACTTGATTAAAAAGTGCAAATGAAGCATGCTGGCAATTCTGATTATACATTTACAACATTTTTTCTATGGTTTTATAAATTAAATCTATAATGAAGACAAGCAGTTGTATTATCTCAAGTGAAGGTGAGGATAACTTGTCTTCTCCCCAGAAGACATTAAGATTTTTAATAGTAAAAGCCAGATAGGAAACTTCAAAACACTTAAAGTAAGAGTTTTAGTAGAACCAGGAATTGAAATATGATACATTTTGTCTAAATCTTGGGAATGGATTTTCAATTTCCCCAAAGCTTATTACAGTCATATGAGTGATCACAAAGTGCATGAAAATAGTTATTCAGTAACATTTTACATGTAAAAAATTTCTTACAAAGAATGCAGAACAAGATAATATGAGCTTGGAAAATAAGGCCAGAAAATGGTTCCTTCAGAGTAAAGTAAATTATTTACATTTATCATTTTGATTCTCCAGTCCTATAATTATGATTTTATTACATTTCAAAAAGTGAATGATACTGTTGTCAGGATCTTTTTTCTCCCAGCACATTCCCTGCCTGATCAGTAACTCAGACTGTATGAGGGAAGACAGACTTCAAGAATTAGAACATAAAATATTATCTGGCTCTTGAGGAGACTTTTGAAGACATTTCTAAGTTTCTTGGTTTCTTGCTTCTGCAAAATATTTAAATGCTAGTCTCAGAGTTTCATTAATATTTTCAATCCCTTAATTTTTTGAGATTACAGGCAATGAAACAAAAAGAAACATATTACTTACATCATTCTGATCATCTTTTGCATTGTAATAGATTATATCATTATTCTGTAAGAGAAAGAAAAGTAATTCTGTTAGTTTGAAAGCAGGGAATAAAGTTTACTAGCAACAATTTGTACTAAAATACATTTTAAAATAAACCTGCATTTCTTTATGTATTGTCTTTGAAATATGACAGAATCAGACCTTTGCTTGCTCTCTGTTGCATGTAGTATTTCCCATGCTAGTGTTTAACTTCATTCATTTAATGCTTCCCTGGTAAGCTACATAAGTTACCCCAAAAGCCAGCTAGAAAAGTACAGACAACATTGGACAAAATCCAGAGCTCATAAAAGACTTCCGTAAGCTGTTTCTTTTACAGACATATGACTCTCTCACTATGCAATTAGGTGATTTATGCACCATGACATCTAGCAGGCAATAGATATGACAACGCATGGGCATTGCTAAGTGGGTTAAGTATTTGTTGCACACACGTTTATTGTTTTATTCACCTCCCACGGTGAAAATAAAATCTGGAAAAATACATCACAGGAGAGTCTGGCTGTTGTAGTGTAGAGTGGATCCTGGCAGCTCTGTGGAAACGCTGTACCATGTAATTCAAGCAAAGCAATGAAGGAGAAGATTACTAGTTTACATTACAAAATCAGTCAGAAGCTTCATTCAGTGTAACGTCTACAGCATTTTGAAAATTGTGGTATTTCCCATTGAATACATTTTTGTTTTATCTTGAAATATTTCTGAACCATTTAAAAGCCTTAAAGATTTAGATTCACTGTAGTAGCTTTCCACTAAATAGAATTGCTGCCACATGCCCTACACTTTTTTGAATGAAAGTAAGCAATTGTTATGTGCATTTCTGTATGAAAGACACATATATGTACATAGCAGTTTTTTAAGTCCCATTACAGATTTTGAATAAATAAAGGAGAAGAAGTTACATATCTTCATGTCCAGCAGCTTGTTTAAATTATATGATTGCTGTTAACCTCCAAAAATAACCTTAATTTATATTTTCAGTTCTGTTTGTGGTAATACCTTTGGTTTTATGTGTCTAAATAAAAAGTTGACCACAAAAAAAAAGCTTTCTCTTTTATAAATACCAAAAAGAAAGAATGATTTCAGGAATAATTTTTCAAGTGGGTAAGCCAACGACAATTATTACTTGCACTAAAAAAGTACCATGACATGTGCTACAAGGTAATGCAGTTCATCTTTATAAACCATCATTTTCCTCACTTCATAAATAATGACATCGTTCATCCTCCTTTGTGACCTTTTTGAGATCCAAACATGAAATATATTATAGATGAGCTAAATGCCATTTTGAGGTAAATGCTATTAACATGAACTCATCCTCTCCCTCAAAATGTACTTTTCCACTTTTCCATCAAGACTCTGTTCTATCCACAGGTCAGTTGGCTTTGTATCAGTATCTGGGTAACTAAGCCAGACCTCAGTGTGTTACAGACACAGGAGGAAATTCCTTTCGTCATTAAGGACCAAAGCTAATTGCTTATTCACTTGATTGTTGTAAAGAAAAGACCATGTAATGCTTGTGGAAGCCTTCAAGTAAGTTGGAAGAGGCAAAAGATTCAATTTTCTTTGGAATGTCTTTACTTTGTACATGGTTGCGTACAAAATAACTGTTCTGTAAATAATTTGATCTGTTCAAAAAGCCATGTGATTCTTTAGCAGGCAACATTTAAAACTGCAGAGGCTCCAACTATGAGAGGTACTAGCTGGAAATGTTAGCACAAGTGTTTTCATCACAAGATAACCTGTTTAATTAAAAAAAAAAAAGTTGTTTCACTTCAGAAGACAGGGGAAAAGAATACTTCTTTCACCAAACCTTATGTTATGTTATGTTATGTTATGTTATGTTATGTTATGTTATGTTATAGCAGTTCCCCTGCAATTTCATCTCTGGAAGCTTTTGTTTGGGAAAAAGGAGACCAGGAAAAGCAATACAGACATATTTATCTGGATATTATGTATATATGCTTTTTGTTTAGTGGTTTCATTTTAAAAAGGAACATTTTCATAAAACACAATTCTATTAGGCTTTCTCTTGTATTGACTTTCATCTAGATATCAGTTTATTTCCCCAGCCCCTTCCCATCGCTCAAGTTTACCCTAACTCATTTAATGAATAGGATTTTTAACAGTCCTCTACACATACAATTCTGTTTATCTACTTAAACAAAATGATTCTTTATCATCACAATTATATTTTCCCCTGTCTTATATTTTTATTTATTTGTTTAAGTTGATCGAAGCTGGCATAGCATTGCTATCTACTTCTACTGGACTAAACAGTATTTTTTAAATCACCTATTAAACAATTATGTTTCAGAAACATGATACATTTACAAGTTAATTAAAATAACCCCCCACCACCACCCCAAATGAATTAGATATTTTGTTAGGCTATTCATATCTTGTAGTTCATTACCCTGCCTGGAGATATTACCTATATAATGCATAAACTAACACTGACATTGGTCATATCTCACTACTCTTAATATAGAAAATATGAGATACACAGTGCTACAACACACTGAATGCTGTACAGTTCACAAACTAGATTCATGGATCAGTTAGATCTTTAGAGGACAATTTTTCATAATTTAACCACTTCTAGCTGACAAGAACAAATTGCTTTATTGCTGGTTCTCAAGCAAGTAGTTCAGTTATTTATTAACTTTGTGATACACAGAATTTGAATCTTCCCACTGTTATATACATCTGCCACCAGGTAATACCGCACATTTATTGAGCAAGCCTAAGACACAATGTAAATATCCTAGATACTTATTTTTGTTCTTTATCCAGTAATGCTATGAGAGAGAGGGGTAAATACTCACTGTTACTTCTGTTTATGAATGAAGGGATTTAGTAAGACAGTCCTGAAGCTGAATTTATGGAAGAATTACTTTAGGAGAGCATATGCATAAATTAGAAACTTTAGCATAGTATCAGTATACAAGTTTACAAAATTTATGCAGTTGGAAACGTGAAGGGTAGTTTTCACCGTCATTAATTCTCCTTTCAAAGCAAACAGTTTCAGTATCTGACAAGGATATGCAAGGCTTGTTTAAAATAGGTGATTGTTGTTAACCTCCAAAAATAGCTTTAATTTATATTAATTACATTAAGGATCAGGTCATTAATGTTTTATTTGTGACTTTTACTATTTTCTTCTATTCTATCCTAATAATCTTTTTTCTTCCACACTTTCATTGATAATATTATCTGCTGAAATTAGATTGTTGCAATGTCTTTATATTGCTTTTCATTTCAATAGTACTTTGTTTCCCAGCTTTGGGTATAAGACAATTTCAATGGGAAACACTACATATTGGGTAGTATTAATGACTTCCTAAATTTCACCACACTGAATCCAAAGTTTCTGGTCTCTATGATATCTGTATCTACAGATTTGAAGAAACACACAGATTCATCGAATAGAAGAAAAGCATGGGAAAATATAATCTTTCAGAACATCTGCAGATGAAATTTGGATTCACACCAACACTAACTTACACTGGCATTTTGATTCTCTACGGAGCAAGTTCACAGACACAGTCTATTGATTCGAGTAGTTAAATGCCTAATCTCAACTCAGGATTATGTGAATGGAGCTGAAGTTGGTTTGTCATCACAGGAAATATCACTTTTTTCTATCAAATTCTTTCACGAACAACACAAAGGGATTACATTGCAACAAGATACATCTGACTCTACAGATAATTACGTATAGTAAATCATGATGATATACCTATGTCATTTTTTTGGTAAAAGCTATACATCCTCCTTTACTCTACCAAGTGCCAAAGATGAAAGCTCCTTGTCATCACTGCCACATAATGGCTTCTGTAGGAAAACCTGCTGTAGGAAATCCTTTGCTAGAATTCCAAGAATTGTCCATGAAATATGGACCCCATCAACTGGTCAAACCTCTTTTTAGGTGGAAACATTTTATGTGTGACTTTTGAAGTATCTGCTTTTCCACAAGAGATGTTTGCATTTCATTCAAGAAAGAAAAAAAAAAAAAATACTGGAAATCTTAAGATTTTCAACAACCATCCAATACTATCTATTCAGAAATACATAGTTGCTTTCACTGAAGCTATGATTAAGATTACTTATGTACTCAGGTCTGTATGTGAGGCTTCCTAGAGGCTCTACGTAACCTAGATCCTGTGAAGTAGCCCAAAATGCTGTTAGGCATGCAGGGGAGACTGAAGGCCTGAAATGAATTCTAGAACTTTGTGAGACGCTATAATGAACTACCTGAAAATAAATAAATTAAAAAAAAAATAGGGGGAGGGGGAGAAACCAGTTTTCTGCAGCTTTTCATATCATAAGAAATTAATGTAATGTGTTAATTTAGACATCACAATGACCTTTTTTTCCTAAAGCAGCAGTTCCAAAACAATTGTAGATAAAATGTGAAAGCAAAAAATAACACTCTTTTCCATGACTTTATTTGCTACAGAGATGCTAGAAGATAATGAACTCCCTCACAAAAGAAAACGGAAGAGTTTTTGTTAAGGTCTCCATACTTCAAACATTTTCTTCAATGAACCACTGAAGGCAAACCTAAAATTAGTGTAGTACATTATATTGCAAATATATATTACTGTATAATTATTAGTACATGATTTAAAATCTGAAATTAAGGCCAAATATGGTTGTTTGAATTTTGTTTTAAAACAGCATACTTCCCATGACTTCCAAGTATTTTATACAAAATGTGCTAAAGAGGCAACGTATAAAAGCTCCTTTATATTGCAGTTAACCTGCTAGTTGTGATACCTACAAGGATTCTTTTGTTCTGCAGGTAATGAGGTAGAGTAAGAAATCAAAAACCGAGAAAAAACAAACTGTATTACAAATATATGTCTGATTTTGACTGTTCAGTTTAAAAATCAGTGCTTAGAATTACAGATACAAATTTGGAGAACATTTTAAAACCATATTAATCCCACACACTTTGAAAAGGCATAGAACATTAGTGAAAGAACTGGGAGTCCTGTTGGTCA